CTTGGTTTTTCTTAGCAAACCCCAAAGCTGTTATTTACTAATGAATTTTAAAATAAGTGGCACTCCCCTAATTTCCAGTCTGCCAGTTAAACAAATGTAGGACTTACAGACCTGCAACGAGATTTTGCTGTTCCTGCAGGGTCACAATTTTGGCAATCTGAGCTCTAAGAGCAGCAAGTTCGTTTTCAAGAGCACAGATCTTCTGCAATGCTTCCTCGTTGGCCAGTGCTGGAGTCTTCGGGGGAGGCTCTTCTTGAGACAAGTCTGGTAAGGAAATCTGCCTACTTGGGGGCTTCTCAAACGAACGTAAGTCATCCTGAAGGGGTGTCCTTGACCTGACCTCTGTCCTGCAAGGAAGACATAAGGTTGGCTATCACAGGCTTTGTAAGGGGATATAAAAAAATTATCATTATCATTAATAAAGCATAAGAGCGTAACACCCAAGAACCACTTTTCAGGCTGATCTTACATAAATCCCCTCCTGTTTAAGTGTTAAAACATCAATGCATTTGTCAACCTTATATAGATACATACTACATATGGGTTCTTGCTGGCATCCTTCTTCTTAACCTTAATCTCTATATAATATGCACAAACCAACACTATCAGGAAGCATCACAGACTCCAGCAAAGATTTTGCTTATTCATGTTTAATCTTTTTGGTTTCTTCTGAGAATAAACTTTTAAATGCTCTTCAAAATAGTAAACTAATTACTAGTTATATTTGGCTACAAAATCAAATCAATGATCCATTAGCCCTTCCCCAGGGTCTTGGCTTCTGCATATTAATGTCAGTGTTTTCCATGTATGACAGAAAAGACCAAATTTTAAGACATATCGTGACAATGTAGGCCAAACGTAGTATCAGAAACTGAAAAGGAGAAAAAGAAACCATTATAATTGAACTCATGCAGTAACTACATAAATAGTCTCATTTTCATTTGGCTATAAAAAAAATTTTTTTTTAATGTGGCATGCCTACGACCTCCAAATGGAGGAAGTCTTTTGTGGTTGAGAAAAAAATTCAGATTTCTTTTCAACTGTCAATTTATATACTTATCTATTTGCTCAGCCCGCATCCCACCTTTAAGTCCTTTCCTATCTGAAATTCTTTCCTTCCAAAAAATAGTCCGTCTTTTCCCTATGGACTCAGAAAACTCCAGTATACTGTCTTTTGACCTTACAGTCATTTAGAACTCTATTAATACCAAAAGACTTCTTCATGCAGGTACAGGAAATAATTATATCTATAGCTCTCAGCTCTAGATGATTCTACCTTGGGAGTGGAAAACCCAAGGCCCTAATGCTGTATCTCTTGGGAAAAGCCTCCTGTGTTTGAAAGTTACTGAAAGAGACCAGAAACTAACACTAAATGCAACCTCTATTGTCAGACACGGGACTGGGGGCTTCCCTCTTACTCACCACATTTAATCTAAACCCCATGAGGCAGATACTATTATTTTACTGCTGAGGACACAACTCAGTATCATATAGCTAGTGTATGGAAAAGTCAATCCTGGAGTTGAGATTTATGCAGTTTATTCCTGCTAGCAATGTTACTTTCCTTCTATGAAAGATGACAGAAGTGTTATTTAACCCTAATTCAAATACTTACAGTTTTCTGAGATAAGGATACACTGTAAAGAAAAAATCTGCCCATTTCTGGTCAAAGACTTTAGACACATTAGTTTAACATTACTTTGCAACCCTGCAATGGTGAACCATTTTCACTTCTTTGGCATACTCCAAATTGCATAGGAAAAGAATGAAGGAATGCCTTGACATGGAGTTTTAAAGATGAGAAAAAAGCCCATAACTGACTTCCTTCTCCTTGCTCTCACTCAACATTAACAAATTGTGCCCAATTGTTTTTGTACTCACAGATTTTTAAAAATCTGATTTTTCCAGGTAAATAATCATACAAACCCCCTCATAAAATTCTGCTTACACAACTTAACGAGCCATGGCCCACAACTGAAGAATCTCTGTGACTGGCCTGGCCAAAAGGCCACACTAAGAGGGAATCTCAGTCAGGCTGTAGACAAGATACTAGTCAAGGCTCACTCTAGTGAACAGTGTGCATTACTACAGACATTGCCGGTTGCTTACTCCAGCAAATACATTCCTCCTCTCCTGAGTAAAATTACCACCAAAAAAAGAGGAGAAAGAAAAAAAGCAGCCCTATCTCAGGGCAGCAATGTGCCCAGCTAAAGGATTACACTTCCCAGTTTCCCCTGGAGTTACATGGGGACATGTGACTGAGTCTGGCTAACAAGACTGTAGGCAGAATGTTGATGAGCCATCTAGGAGGGCCACTTAAAGAGAGGTGACTCCATAGAAAAATCCCTTCATCTTTAGTCTCAGCTGCCTTTCCTCACGCTGAGAGTCTTGAGTGCAAGGCAATGTCCTAGAGTCACAGAAGGACAGAAGCTAATCTTGATACAAAGCCAATGCCATGGATGGCAGAGAGCCTGGCTGGGGCCCTGATGACACTGTAGAGCCACTATCAGATCAAGCCCACCCACCCTTTGGATGTCTTTCATTTGAGAGAGAAATAAATGACCTTCAAAGAAAAATTAACTTCCATCTTGTTTAAGCCACCATTCTTTTGGGCTTCTGTGTTACATACAAACTTAATTGTAACTATTAGGACATTCAACAACATTAAATTCTATTTTAATTTTCCTTTAACTGGATATTGGTATTTTATTTTTGCTTGACAGCTGTGATAATTCTTCATTTGATCTTGCTTGTTAAATAGGAGAATACTTGCGCTTGTAGCTTTTGATATTATGCACTGAATTCAGGTATTTTTCTTCATATCTAATTGTGTTTACATTAAATTAAATTACCAAATTTAATGGCTAATTAAATTACCAAACATAGAGAATGTTGTTTGCAAATTGTTTTTTGCCTATAACAATTTTAAACAAAAAGATTTCTAAAGAGTAAATGTTCTCACTCTTACCTAGCAACTATACTACCAACTTTGTTTTATTTGGAGTATTTATGGGTAGGAAAATATGTAGCTTGCAAAGCTTCAATTACCATTTGTTTTCTTAGCCCTACAATCAGAAGAAACAGGTGATGTAATTTCTTTAAAAAGTTCATGAAAATTAAAGGTAAAAACTTTCATAACAGTACCAGTGTCTGATTAAACATATTATTTAATAATACAGTTAAAGATTATATGTTATATAAGTTATAGATTCGATGTGTATGCTCTAATCAACTTACAATAAAGATAATAATTTTAATAAGCCATTAAAATTTTGAAAAAAAAAAATTACTGTGGCTCTTTGTTGGCTAAATTCTGATTTCTACCCACCTTTACAGAGCAGTTTGAATAACTTTGTTAAATAGCTCTGTACAATAAATACATTAAGTTACAAGTAGATAGAAATTAGTCAACCTAGTAAATGAAGCTTTGAGGAGGTAGGGGATACTCACATAGTTCAATTACATCTAATATCAATATGACATTATATGAAACATTATTTAATATTCTTCTTCATGTATATTCTTGGTAATCTTTAAAAAAAAACTGAAAAATAATGATTATATTTAAAAAGACTACTTCTGGCTGGGTGCAGTTGCTCACGCCTATAATCCCAGCACTCTGGAAGGCTGTGGCAGGATCACTTGAGCCCAGGAGTTCAAAATTACAGTGAGCTATGATCGCACCATTGCACTTCTAGCCTGGACAAAAGACCGAGACCCTGTCTCCAAAAATAACAACAATAATAATAGAAAAGAAAAAAACTTCTTGAAAAAACCAGAAGAATTCCTGGTAGGTAGGATACTGGGAGCAGTACAATGCTAGTCTCAACAGATCTAAGCAAAGTATAGGATTCTCAAATAAAAGTAGAATTAAAGTAGCATACATGTTCAAAACCACAGTGAAGAAAGTAGGAAGAGTAGTAGTAATGGAGTGTGAGTTTAGAGGAAAAAAGCAATCAGAAGCAGAGTGTTATCAGGACAGAGGACAGGGGCCACCGCCATAAGATGAGTGGCATCTAGAAGTGACAACCAATGGAAGCAGAACTGAGAAAAAGAGGGAACATAGAATCTGCAGATAAAGAGACATCTCTAACCCTACTGTTTTCTCATTTCCATGAAAGCAGAATTTTGCTATGTTTATCAAAACCTACCTAAAAGAATGAATAGATTCGTATGTGGGGATGAAAATGAGGATGATACTTTGCTTTCATATTATGTATAAGTGCAGAGGATTCATGAAGCTTATTTACAGAAAATAAACTTTAGATACCAGAACCTTTGGTATTTATAAACAAAAAATTATGTTATAACACTTTTATTTAAAAACTAGTATTCACTTTCCCATCTAAAATTGTCCTAGACATTATAGGATCCCAAAGTAGTAAATGCTTACAAGTATGTTTTAAAACGTTATCATTCAAGTAAGCCGATCTTCAAATTCCATGAACATTTACTCTTTAATAATCTTTTCCCAGAATTGGAACAAGATAATATGATACACTGAATTAAGATATCAACTGTAAGCCATATTTGAATAGCTTACTTTTTATCTTCTGGTTTTCCCTCCCTCCCAGAGACAGGGTCTTGCTCTGTCACCCAGGCTGGAGTACAGTGGCACAATCATAGCTCACTGTACCCTCAAATTCCTGGGCTCAAGTGATCCTCTTGCTTCAGCCTTCCAAGTAGCTGGGCCTACAGGTGCATGCCACCACGCCTGGCTAATTTTTTTTTTTCTTTTGTAGTGATGAGGTTCTATGTTGCCCAGGCTGGTCTCAAACTCCTGGGCTCAAGGGCTCTTCCTGCCTCAGCCTCCCAAAGTGCTGCGATTACAGACGTGAGTCACTGGGCCCTGCTGCTTACTTTCTTTAAGATATCTTCTAGTCAAAATAAACTGCAAGAGAAAATTAATGAATATTGAACAGAAACTAGTGTTTAAAAAGGATTAAGTTTCTACATTTTCCCATAACTCCTAAGGTGAATTTTATCTTTTTGGCTTTCTTTTTGTTAAAAATTAAGGACAAAGTACTCAATAATGTTGAACACCACTGTGTCAGGGTAAGAGAAAAAAAGTTTAGGGCCTTTGGCAAACAAATTAAATAATAGTGTCACCTGTACTTTATGTCTATACTATTGTGGTATATTTTTATAATTCAAAATTTCTCTATGTGAAATACGGTTAATGTTTATGGGTTCAAACAAAGTAATTACAGGAAATGTAGAGGTTTAAAATCCCAGATGTGTAGTTGAAAGAGGAAAGTAATCCTGAAATGATTATGTCTTCTCAAAAGAGGTTAGGCATTTATTCCAGAACCAAAACCAAAAAAGAATTTTGTAAAGTTCTTTCTTGTGTATGGAAAAAGTTTAGATTTTATGATCATTACCACATACACCCCTTACTTTAAAAATAAAAACACATACACTTCTCCCAAATAATTATTTTAAGAAAGTCACCAAGTAATTCATTCTTACAACCAATCTGTTTAGTCATCTTTAAGAATAGAGGGCTATGAAGAGCTAGAATACAGAGGCAGAATAAATCCAAACTCAGAAGTGCTCTTTTCTAGAATTTTGGTAATTCGGGGAAATTGTAAGAAACAAAAACAAATACAAAAACAAAAATAACAAAAAGACAATTCAAGTATAGATGTCTCAAAATCGAAAGACAAACAGTCAAAGAGTGATGTTTCCTAAAACCACTTTCTGCATGCCAACTTCTTCTGGCAAGATTTCTGCTGTTTTTATTTGTTTGGGTTTGATTTTTGTTTGTTGACTTTGGCTCCAAGTACCCTAGGGCAGAAGAGCACAGGTTCCTATTTAGAGTAACCCTGCACTGAATTGTCTAGCTCTCCATTGTTTTCAGTGTTAGTATTAAGAAAAGCCATTTTGGGACTACAATTTACATAAATCCAAAAGGATTTCTAGCTCCACTGACCATTTCAAAGACAACTCTAAATCAAATATATTACACTTCTGGGGTACTTTCTCCTTATCTCAGTTAATGGAAACTCAAAACCTGAGATAGTTTTAAATTAGCCCCGTGACCTATTCCCAAAATGATTTTTACTGACCCTCCCTCATCTTTTTAGTTTAGAGAACAACCTAGAAAGGTATAAAAATACACTGTATAGTTTCAGAATCCAGGGAGGAAAAAAGTTGGCAGTTTAGTTCCCTGAAACATCAAGTTGGGTAGAAAACAATCTTTTCAAAGCGGGCAAGTGGTTGAATAGAAACAATGAGACTGGGGAAATCATTTTGACAGAGGACATAATCCACAAGAGGACCTACAATGGGAATAGATAGGATTGCTGTGATGCTACAGATCCAGAAAACGGGTGGGATTTGCCCCATTAGCTGTTCTAGGCTCTGTTCAATACATGCTTTTCTGTTGTTTTAGATTTTAAAAGCTGGATCTTCCTAAAAGTGATATTTAATGGAAATTACATTTCTCTCTTGAATGCACTATTTTATTGATTGTTATCAGTCAATGTCTAGTGTGAAATAATTAAGATAAAAATGGGAACAAGTAACACCTGCTGTTTGATGTGCTGTGAGTAGGAAACCATCTTGCTCTGATCCACAGAGTCGCCTGGTCTACTATTGCACCTATGGAGCTGTGGCAAGCCAGCCTGCTTGCTTCTTGAGTCATTTCCTTTGGAGTCTTGGTATTCCTCATCATCATCTATGAAGTTGAGGGTCTTCCCTGACACTCCTTAAAAAAATAGCACATTCCATTTTACACTTAATATTGAAATTTGAAAAATTAAGCTGGATATATTCACTCAAAGTCCTCAGTCTCACTTTGCTCGCTAGCCTTATATTATAGATTTTTATAAATATGTTCACCTTCCTCATTAGATTGCAAACATCCTGGTGTAAGAAAAAAGGTTACTTGAAATACTTTTAAGCCCTATGATCCTATAAATTTGTAGGAAAAGAGTTTTATATGTAAGTGATACTCTACAGAAGAATTAGATACAATTATAAATTAATATATTAATACAGAATGAACAAATTGGAGTTAAACTTTCAGTATTTCAATATTCCTTAAATGTTATTGTACTCCAAAGCAATCAAATCCTTGATGGCAATGTCTATGATGTCTACTAGAAGCCTCAGAGATTAGTCTTTAATTTTACCATACAGTACAAATGTTATATACATAGTATACTACGTATATATCCAAAGACTACACATTCTCCTGATAATACTACTATGAAAGAGAACAAACTATTCACCTTAGACAGGATCATCAGTTATATTGATTTTTTCAAAGAATGTCAACGCTTCTTATGAAAACGAAGCTCTTTTCAATTCTGAGGCCATTCTGTCAATTCACAAGGAAATGAAAATGTGTATCGAAAAGAGAAAAAACAGTGAGGCCTTACACTGCGCTAAAGTTTTGTCATGTTATCTTTTAAACTTCTCTTCTCAAGGTAGGTATTAATACTTCCAAGTTATAGATAAAAAACTAAAATTCAATGCACTTGAAAAAATTATTTGTGTAATAACCAATTATGAAGGACTGATATGTATACTATTTTCCCTGAGACATACAGTATGGCATTATAAATAATTTAACAGAAATGTTAACAACATAAATTAAAGGGAGAAATTCTAAAAAATTATCTTGAAGAGCTTCAGCTTTCATAGAAATATAAATGTGAAAGGCACAGAAACCCTCCAACTGCAATATATTAGTCTTGAATAGAACTTGTTTCTGCATAGGCTCACATAGTAAATTAAAAACAAGGAAAGGTATTTCATTGTGTGGAATGAGTAGTTTAAAACTTGCCCATATGGCCGGGCGCAGTGGCTCACGCCTGTAATCCTAGCTCTCTGGAGGCCGAGGCGGGCAGATTGCTCGAGGTCAGGAGTTCGAACCAGCGAGCAAGACGAGACCCTGTCTCTACTATAAATAGAAACAAATTAATTGGCCAATAATATATATAAAAAATTAGCCGGGCATGGTGGCACATGCCTGTAGTCCAGCCACTTGGGAGGCTGAGGCAGAAGGATTGCTTGAGCCCAGGAGTTTCAGGTTGCTGTGAGCTAGGCTGATGTCATGGCACTCATTCTAGCCTAGGCAAGAAAGCGAGACTCTGTCTCAAAAAAAAAAAAAACTTCCCATATAGACCACCATTACACTAAATGTACTCTATTTCATACTATTTCTATGATTTAGTCATAAAAAAATCCCCATAGAAATGCAATTAATGTCAACGTGACAGAAGAAAAAGGATTCAAACCACATGGTGAGGATACTGATACCCAATAATTGTCTAGACAAAGTAAAATTCCATCAACGTTCATCCTTCTATTTTGCCCTACTATTCAAAATATGTGTTAAATTTGCTACCCTGTCAATCTGTACAATGCACTACTGTTTATCTGGCATGTGAAATTGATAACACAGAGCTTCTTCAAAGCTCCCTTTCCATGGAAAGATGGTAAGACTCCGATGTGCCAGCCTGTCAGTAGACAACACTGTGTGGTACTGGCACAGGGATAAACACATAAGTCAATGGAACAGAATAGAGAATCCAGAAACAGATCACACAAATATGCCCAACCGATTGTAGACAAGGTACAAAAGCAATTACTGGAAGAAAGACTGCCTTTCAACAAATGGTGCTGGAACAACATACATCCACAGGCAACAAACACTCTTGACTTAAGTCTCATAGCTTATACAGGTTGAGCATCCCTTATCCAAAATGCTTGGGACCAGAAATGTTTTGGATTTTAGATATTTTTCAGAGTTTTGAAAATTTGCACATACCTAATGAAAGGGGATAGGACCCAAGTCTAAACATGAAATTCATTTGTGTTTCATATATACCTTATACATGTAGGCTGAAGGTAATTCTATACAATATTTTTAATAATTTTGTGCATGAAACAATGTCTTGATTGCATTTTAACTTTAAACTATCACATAAAGGTTGCGTGTGGAATTTTCCACTTGTTATGTCATGTTGATACTCAAAAAGTTTTGGGTTTTGGAGTATTTCAGATTCTGAATTTTCAGATTAGAGATGCTCAACCTGCACAAAAAATTTAATTCAAAAAGAATCATAGACTAAAATGTAAAACATAAAACAAGATGTAAAACAAAATAAAATGTAACATAAAAGAAAATGTAAAACATAAAACATAAAAACAAGAGAAAAGTCACAGGATCTAGGGCTAGGCAAAGAGTTCTTAGATTTGACACCAAAAGCATGATCCATAAAAAGAAAAAATGATACACTGGACCTCATCAAAATTGATAACATTTTCTCTGTGAAAGACCCTGTTAAAAGTACGAAAAGACAAGCCACAGAGCAGGAGAAAATATTTATAAACCACATACTTGACAAGTACTCCTATCTAGAATATATAAAGAAGTATCAAAAAATACCCAGTAAGAAAACAGGCAAAAGGATGAAGAAATATTTTACTCAAAAGAATATATAGTTGGCATGAAAAGATGTTCAATATCATTAGCTAGTAAGAAAATAAAAATTAAAACCACAGTGAAATATCACCTATCAGAATGGGAGGGGAAAAGGGGGAAAAAAGGTTAACAAAAAGAGAAAGACCGATAACACCAAATGTAGGTGAGAATGCAGAGAAACTGAATCAGCCATACACTGCCGGTGGGGTGTGTATATATATAACTGTATGGTCACTCAAGAAACGTTTGTCAGTGTCTTGAAAAACTAAGTATGCAACTACTATTTGACCCAGTAATTGCACTCATGAGCATTTATCCTAGAGAAATGAAAATTTATGGTCACTCGAAAACATACATACAAATGTTTATGTACCAACTGTTTTTGTAAGAGCCAAAAATTGTAATCAGCCCAGATGTCCATCAACTGCTGCACAGCTAAACAAATGTGGTACAACCACACCAATGACCACGATAAAAATGACCAATGACCAGCGATAAAAAAGGAACAAACTATTGATACATATAACAATCTGGATGAATAGCCAGAGAATAATGGTGAGTGAAGAAAGCCAGCCCCAAAAGGTTACCTATTGTATTATCCAATTTATACAGTATTCTTTAAATGACATAATTGTGGAAATGGAGAACGGACTACTGATTGCCAGTGATTAAGGAGGGGCTGGGGATTAAGGGAAGCGGGTGTGGCTGTAACAGGGCAACATGAAGGAAGGTTATGGGTATAGGTATGTCCTGCATCTTCACTTTACCAACCTCAATATCCTTCTGTGAGGCCAGGCGAGGTGGCACAGACCTGTAATCCCAGCACTTTGGGAGGTTGAGGTGGGAGGATCACTTGAGACCAGAAGTTCGAAACTAGCTTTGGCAACATAGCAAGATCACATCACTACAAAAAATAGAAAAATTAGCCAGGCATGGTGGTACGCACCTGCAGTCCCAGCTACCTGGGAGCCTGAGGCTGGACGATAACTTGGAGCCCAGGAGTCTGAGGTTGCAGTGAGCTATGATGACACAACTGCACCTAGCCTGGGCAACAGAGACCCTTTCTCTTTAAAAAAAAAAATCCCGCTGTGATACTGTACTATAGTCTCAAAGAATGTTAAAAATGAGTAAAAAGGAAGAGGAAATTTCTCTGTATTGTTCTTTATAACTGCATGTGAAGAATCTATGATTATCTCAAAATAAGAAAGTTTAATTTAAAAGATAAAATAAACAGCTTAAAAGGAAAGGCTTTTTACCTGCTAATCCTACAATACCTGGTCTGTGTTCCTCATCTACTGCTATGTCCTCACTTCGACCTGTCATTCAAATCAAATTCCTTCTTTGCTCATGGATTATGTGATTCTTACTTTATCTAGCTAATACCACTCAAATGTAATAACTCTTCCTAAAATCAATGATAACCTTCCAACTGAAAAACAAAATTGAAACTTGCTACTTTTTGGATTTCCCTAGTCTTTAAGTATTTGACATTGATGACTATTCCTCCTCCATAAAAATTCTCTCCTACTTCCTCTGCTTCTGTAACAATATCCTCTCCTAGTTCTCCTCTTGAACTGCTTATTGCGGGGTGAAGGTGGGGAAAGGAGGCTTTTTCTTTCAATTTCCAAATGCTGGCTTCATTCAGGATACGAATGCTCTTCATGCCCTATATGTGATCCTTGGTGCTCTCATTTACAGCCATTCCATCTACATGTTAATAGAGTGTGAGCCTCCCTTATCAATATCTAGTCACATAAATTGTTTCTAGATCAGTGTGAATGTGTCAAAGGAAACTCAACATATTCCAGACTGGACTACTCCCTCTTATGCCCTCCCACCAAAATAATCTGTTTTCTTATATTCCTATTAATTGTTCCACCATCCTTACAATTATTCTAGCCAGAAACCTGGGAGTTATCCTAGACTTTTCCTTCCTTAACCCCCACCGCTAATAAGATTCCATGTCTTACTACTATTAATAATAATTTCTTTCTTATTAATAAGAAACCACGCTGGGCATGGTGGCTCACGCCTGTAATCCTAATACTCTGGGAGGCCGAGGTGGGCAGATTGCTCAAGGTCAGGAGTTTGAAACCAGCCTGAGCAAGAGCGAGACCCTGTCTCTACTATAAACAGAAAGAATTAATTGGCAAACTAATATATAGAAGAAGTTAGCCTGGCATGGTAGTGCATGCTGTAGTCCAGCTACTCGGGAGGCTGAGGCAGGAGGATTGCTTGAGCCAGAAGTTTGAGGTTGCTGTGAGCTAGGCTGACGCCACGGCACTCACTCTAACCTGGGCAACAAAGCCAGACTCTATCTCAAAAAACAACAAAAAAAAAAGAAACCACTAATAAGTTTCCATGTCTTTTCAACTCTTCTGAATCTCTCTTGGCTTTGACCCTTCTCTGCCAGTTTCTTAACACATTAACTACCATGTGAGTTGTATTTAACTCACGCTAGTTTTGAGCCCAGGGCTGCATGAAGCATATGTAACTCACATCTCTCTTTACTTTTACCCTTATGAACTATTTTTCAAGTTGCATGTAACTCATGCACAGAAAACAATTTAAAAAACCAAATTTTTTATTAAATTAGAAAGGATCATTTTGTTTTCTGTTTTCATAATGAAGTACCGTGGCCCCAAGGAAAAAAAAATTTTCCTGGTGTGCGGTCAATGTGCTAATTTAGGCAAATTCTAATCATCTATTAGTTGGTCTATCTCCTTATCTGGCTCCCTTCTATTCTCATACTGTTCACAGGTTAATTTTACTAAAACACAAATCCGATCATATTACTATAGTGTTTAAATTTCTCCCATGGTTCCACATTGCTTTCAGGAAAAAAGTCTAAATTTGTTGTTGCAACATGTATGGCCTTTAAACCTCTACCTGACCTCCTGGGATTGTGTCTGGAGAGTGGCTAGTATTCTACCAGCTTCGGAAACAGGAGGGAAAGCAAGCCTAGCAGAGGTACCTGTTCCATTCCCAGCTTGCTCGGTAGCTGGTGACTGGAAGACACTCTGCAACAAGTGAGAAAAAATAAAATAAAAAAATAAACCTCTACCTACTTTCCGTCCTCACCTACTACAGCTCACACCGTAGGAGCTTACACTTCTCTGCTACTCTCTAGTCTCACTGAGCC